CGGCAGCGGCGGGTGAGGCCCCGTTGCCCTGGCTAGCGGCAGCGACCGGTGGGGCCGTGTTGCCCTGGCTAGCGGCAGCGGCCGGTGGGGCATCGTTGCCCTGGCTAGCGGCAGCGGCCGGTGGGGCTGCGTTGCCCTGGCTAGCGGCAGCGGCCGGTGGGGCCGTGTTGCCCTGGCTAGCGGCAGCGGCCGGTGGGGCAGCGTTGCCCTGGCTAGCGGCAGCGGCCGGTGGGGCCGTGTTGCCCTGGCTAGCGGCAGCAACCGGTGATGCTGTGTTGCCCTGGCTAGCGGCAGCAACCGGTGATGCCGCGTTGCCCTGGCTAGCGGCAGCAACCGGTGATGCCGCGTTGGCCTGGCTTGCTGTAGCCTGTGCGTCGTCCTGGCTTGCAGGAGCCGGAGCAGGCGTTGCCATTTTCAAATCTACAATCCGTAAAAAGTAAAGCAAAGTTTGCACGTGCTCGTTACCTTGGGCTGGCTATACAAGAGACCAATCACGAAAAGATTGTCTGGGTTCGAAAGGGGGCTCCTCAACTGAGAGTGCACTGTACAACACATACATGGCACTACCTGGTCAGCATACGGCACAGGACGTGTTTGATAGTTTGGGTGGGAATGCTGGGGTAAGTACACGCTTTTCACGTTACTATATAACAAGTTACTTTCCGTGTACGGTATAAGTACAAATTTTCGTTTGGAATTTATTTTCGCTATATTCGTTAGGAATAAGCGGCGCGGAGACAATAACTTTAATAAGGCAACAAGCAGAATCAGCGAAGCGGACATTGGAGCAGCAACGGACGTGACAATAATATTGACAGAGGATGAGGATCGGCAGACCACGGACGATGAAGGTACTGGCAGTGACGGAGAGCAGGACGCGGATGTTGAGGCCAACAGTGGACAGTTGCAAGGTGAGGGTGATGATACTGGAAAGAGATCCGCAATAAAGAAACACCTGTTGTCCAACAGTCAGTGCCGTTCAGTTTATGATGACTCTTGTTTCACAGTTTTGTGCCGTGCTCGTAGGTTTAGTGAACTTAAAGTATTGGAAGCTGTTTTCATGCACAAACATAACCCCAACCTATGCATCCAGAAAGAAAATGTCACTAAACTTAGACTATTCTCTTAGCATTCACACACACACGCACATACACCCACCCACATACCCTTGAGCGTACTACTTACACTTCACCCTCTCTGAGTCTCACATAGTTATTATTTCTCTCCTGCTCACCTATGTTATTAGTTTCACACTTCTCTTGTCTTTTGCACTTCACCTTCTTTTCTACTATTTTCTTTCACATACTGCATTTCGTACTCTGCCACGTATATATCGTTGTTGATTGCTAGATTTCAGTACTGACACGTATTTTCCCTGATGAATGTCTCTAGAAAACGTGTTCGGAAACTTTTTATCCAACTTTTTATCCAACTTTTTATCCATCTTTTAATTTTGTTCCAGACTACATCCAATGTTCGCTTCGCTGATTCTGCTTATTGCCTTATATACGTTAGGGGGCACGAAATAACTAAAGTTTGTACCAAACTATAGTTTTTTCTGAACGTTAGGGGTGAGAGGCCTCGACTAACAACGAAATGTAGTACATGACAAGCCTGCTGGTGGAGTGATGTAACGAAAGATTTCGTGAACGAAACATTTGTACTTATACAGAACTTAAAGGGGAAGTTCCTAAAATGAAAAATTTACAACATGTAGCGAAAAATGCACTGATTCCAATGGTGAAGATCCGAGGTTGATCGAAGCAGCCGTTCCCGAGTTACACCAGCTTGAAGTTTGCACTAAATTTGGTGACATCATGATGACGTCAATAACTTGCCCAGACACGGCCGGGTTTATGACGTCAGAGAGAAAGACTTTGTATGGGAGTAGATGAGGAAATTTCAGTATTTTGGCTCTCCATAGGGCATCTACTTGACCCAAGACTCCCGAGGCCGGCCAGGGCGCCCAAGACAGACGTTGGCAACCTGCGTTGCGGAGGACATGAGAGAGACCGGAATGACTTTCACCACAGTGCGGGATCTCGACCTGGCGACTGAGCGAGCAAGGGACAAACCGGCATGGAGAGCGATGGTCTTCAACTAATGATACTGGACTAGAACAACGGAAAGATTCATCAAGACAGCAGTGGACCGAACATTAGTGTTGCACAATATTAATGTTCCATTACGCGCAACTGTGTTATTATTATTATTATAATTTTCATAGTGCTTGAAAGTGATGACGTCAAAAACGGCCAGGGAGTAGTAAGTTCACATCAGATTTATATTTTGGATCCAGTAAGGTGTGTCTTTGCTATTGCCTCAGTGTATGGGTGCATAGCAACCCACGCGTCGAATGCAGGTGTGACTTTTTCTTAGCCACCAGTTGTCACCCCACCCCCATTAGCCAACCCAGTAAATTTTACTGGCTATATCACCTTGCTGTGAGCAAGACCGCTTGAAGTGTGCTTGGATCCATACATAAACTGGATCTAAGTGGATCCAGTTTTTGAATTTTTGAAATTGTTATCTATTTATTTATTTCTGCACCTCGTGGCATGTCAAGACAGCCAATTGAATTGAGGAGAGGGTGAGACCAACCACGGAAGAAGAGAAAAAGAAAATGAAGAGCACGTACACAAAGTGGGAAGGGATTAGCAACTTACAAAGCAATGGGATGCTCAGTGAGCTATGCAGCGGAAGTGGTGACTGTGATTTTGTTTACTGGGAGATACTGAAGTGCTGTCTGACGAGGGTACGGAATTTGGGCATATCTAGAGCTTGTCTAACACTGGGAGGCAGTTGGAGCCAAGTGGAGTAGGAGGAAAAGAACGGGGGATGTTCAAATAGGGTAGACCTAGCTTTGCTATGCTGTGACGTAGCACTTTCAAGCCATATTGTCCCAAAGAAGTTGGATCTTCTTAAAACTTCGGTATGGGACACATGGCACCCTACCGGTATTCCAACTGGAAAAAATTATAGTATGAAATTCATTGTTGCAGAGATACAAGAAAGAAATTGGTTTCCTCATCTACTCCCATGCAAAGTCTATCTCTCTGACGTCATAAATCCGGCCTAGTCTGGGCAAGTTTCTGACGTCATCATGATGTCACCAAATTTAGTGCAAACTTCAAGCTGTTACAACTCGCGAACGGATGCTCCGAACAACCTGGGATCTTCACCATTGGAATCAGCAGTACAGTCGGAGGAGAAACCAGGCACCATACTGAATTTTAGATTACATTTTACAGTCACTGTATGACACTGGAGGAATCTACGCACTGTATGACACTGGAGGAATCTACGCACTGTATGACACTGGAGGAATCTACGCACTGTATGGCACTGGAGGAATCTACGCACTGTATGGCACTGGAGGAATCTACGCACTGTATGGCACTGCCACTGGAGGAATCTACGCACTGTATGACACTGGAGGAATCTACGCACTGCAGGTGCAGGGACCGCTGGTCACCTAATTCTACATTACACCTAAAACCTGGCAGGTCCCCGATACCCACACTTTGGACATTGTCCAAAACACTTTCTTCCAAATAATAATTAGATATACTGAATGACATAGGAAGAAGCTGAAATTTCTCATGAATATCCACCATCCTCATCACATCACCAATAATCACCTGTACTCCCAAACAGATTTAATAACATCCCTATGAACGGTACCTCTATTTGCAGAGAAAGTCGAAATCTATGGTTTGGCCACGTTGTCCGACAAGGCCCAAACTCTCCATCATACCAGGCACTGATGTTAGCCACTGACATCTCTGACATCAAGAAGCCACGCGGACGCCCCCCAATGCGTTGGATCGACACTGTCCGAAAGGATCTCAAGAGTGTCGAACTTGCCATCAGCAACGCCCAGACCCAAGCTCATGACCGTAAACAATGGCGAGAAACTGTCAACAGATCGTTCGCTCATGCCTTGACTGCTTGAGTGACATGCGAAACTGTATTATTTTTCCTCATTACTATTATTATTATTATTATTATTGACGAAAATGTTGAACGGTCTCTGAGTGCTGGGCCCATGCCATGGGATGACGACTACACCATAGCACAGACGTGGTTAGAGCATCGCTGGCTCCAAGCGAGGGTCCCTGGTTCGAGTCCTGGTGGTGACAGTCAATTTTTCTTCAGACTTTTCCCGTTCGAGTCTTTCCCTCAAACCAGTGAATTGTGATTATCATTACAATTTCATGTTATACACTACAATGTCATGTAGTTGCATGCAAGACTTAGAGAGACGACGCGACAGACTTCAAAGCCCTTTGTTGGTTTTCTCTGTGGCACTCGTAATGTCTGCTGTCTGCACCCGAAATCTTACGAGACATTTCGGGTGCTATTTTGTTTATTGCGAGCGCTTCGTCTTCTCTTTAGGAGCTGCATCTGCGCCTTGATCCTGGAAGGGTGGTGGCGTTCCTACGGATGCGGAAAACTCGGCCTCTATAATTATGAAACCGAGTCTCACGCGAACCGTGAATTTTTTTCGTCTTCGATGAATCTTGCCTCTTTCCTGCAGGGTTTCCTCCTCTAGGACTAGCCACGGCACGGCACTAAGCTACTGTAGTCATGTGCAGCCGATCAGTGGTCTACTGCAGAAGAAGATTGCTTTTCCCCGAGCCAGTGCCCCGCCAAAGACCATCGCCATGCAACACCGTCGGAACAAGTTCAGGATCGATGAGAATCATGATTCGCGCGAGCATGATGAAGCACGGAACTACAGTATTTCGAAAGACAACACAGGACGACAGCTATGCGCAGGTCTTGGGAGAATGTCTCCCGCGGTAAGAACCGAGACGACAGCTAGCGGGTTTTCGGCAACCTAGCTGGTGTCGGCGGAGATCGTCAAGCTCCTCCGCCTCACCGATCTGCTACATGTCTGACAGTCATGTACATACGGCAGAAATTCTGATAACACGAGCGTGCGGAAACACAGCATAGTAGATCTACCATGATCTACTGTGGCGAGAGTTTGCGGAAGAAATCCGAGTCGAAAAATCCATCAGGTCCAAAATCTACCTGTAAGGCTGCTGCCGTCGATGTGGCTCCAGCTTCAGATTACAGCAGTCAGGAGTCATTCCTGGGTGCCTAAATTGGTGACTCCGACGTGATCCAATTTAGGGCCCGGTCTACGTCGGGCCCTAGTCGACGGCTACAATGGCCAACCGGACAACAAAGAAGTTGAGGCCAAAGAGAATGATTCTATTTCTTGCGCATGCTTAGGGTTGGTTCATATGCAAAATCGGCGCCGCAAGACATCGGCGATCGATGACTCGACTCCGATGATATGAGCCAGCTCCAGATCCGTTGCGCATACGGTTCGAGTACCAAATCTACTACAAAGACTAAGTAGTACAGAATGTGCCAAATGCTACGACAGGTTTGCCGATT